AACTCTGCAAGAAGAGATAATAAGAGATACCCCAATTAAAATAACTGTAGACAGCATAAAATACCTAGAAGTATACCTGCCAAGACAAACCCAGGAACTACATTAACATAATTAAAACGTTTTTATACAAATATAATCAGATTTACATAATTGGAATAATATTAATTATTCATGGGTGGACAGAACCAATATAATAAAAATGACAATTCTGCCTAAACTAATCCATTTATTCAAATGCCATCCCAATTAAATTACTAAAAAATTATTTCATTGAGCTAGAAAAAATAATAAAATTCATTTGGAAGGACAAAAGATTAGGGATATCAAAGGAATTAATGAAAAAATGTAAAGCAAGGAGGTTTAGTAGTACTAGATCTAAGGCAGTAATTATCAAAGCTATCTGATAATGGCTAAGAAATAGGTGAATCAGTGGACCAGAGTAGACATACAATACACAGGAGTAAATGATTGTAGTAACCTTGTGTTTACAAATGTAAAGCCATAAACTTTTGGATAAGAATTCACTATTTGGTAAAAATTGTTGGGAAAACTTGAACAGTCTGGCAGAAATTGAGTTTAGATCAATATATTACACCATTTGCCAAGATAAGGTCAAAATGAATACATGCCCTAGATGTTAAGGGAGCTATCATAAGTAAATTAGAAGAACATGAAACATATTACCTATCAGACTTATGGATAGGAGAAGAATTTATAAATAAATGAGAGATAGCATTATGAGTTGTAAAATGGATAACACTGATTACATTAAATTAAAAAGGTTTTTGTACAGTTACAACCAATGTAGCAAAAATTAGAAGGAAAGCAGAAGATTGGGGGGAATTTTTTATGTATAGTTTCTCAGAAAAAGGTCTCATAATCACAAATATATAGAAAACTTTCTAATATATAAGAATATGAGTCATTCTCCAATTGACAAATGGTCAAAGGATATGAGCAAGCAGTTTTTGGATGAAGAAATCAAAGCTATATGTAGTCATATGAAAAAATTTATTATTGATTAGAGAAATGCAAATTAAAACAACTTTACTTAACAGTGGTAACTCTGGGTCAGATCATAAGGACCCGGTTTAGCCATTTTGTTTATGAATCCAGATGGCTTTCCAGAATGCTTGTACTAATTCACAGCCCCACACAACCCCTTCAGTATTGATTGTTCTTATATTTTGTCATTTTTGCCAATTTGGATGAGAGGTAAAACTCACGTTGTTTTGATTTGCATTTCTCTTATTTGTGATTTGGAGCATTTTTTATGTGGTTGTTAATGTCTGCAATTCTTCTTTTGAAGATTGTTTATTCCTATCAGTAGTTTGCTTCTTAAATTTGGCTTTAGCTTGATAAGTCAACAAGCATTAATGCTTTCTGTGTGGAAGGCACAAATCACTGGGGATACAAAAAAAGGCAAAAACATGGGTCCTGCCCTCAGGGAGCTCACATTCTGATGAGAAGACAACATGCAAACAAACAACTGTGTACAAAGAAGATATATGCAGAGTAAATGAGAGGCTGTCTCAGAGAGCAGGCAGTAACTGGAAGGGGCAGGGGAAGAGGAAGAATGGGAAAGGCCTCTTAAACAAAATGGGATTTGAGCTGTGTCTCAAAGGAAGCGAGGAGGAGGTAGAGGCCAGGAGGGAGGGCACTCCAGGCATGAAGGATAGTCGGTGCCAAGGGATGGAGTTGGGAGATGGAGTGAGGGACAGCAAGAAGTCCAGAGTACCGGGGGAAAGGGCAAAGTGTAAGAAGACTGGAAAGGAAAGCATGGTCCAGGTTCTGAACAGCTTTAAAAACCAAAGAGAGGATTTTGTGTTTGAGCCCTTCTGTTGTAAATGGGGGCCACTGGAGTTTGCTGATTAGAGGAGCGATGTAGTCAGAATAGCAATTAAGGAAGATCACTTTAGCTGTTTAGTGGAGGATAGACTGGAGTTCATCCAGGGGGATCAACCAGCAGGCAGTTGCAATGGTGTAGGTATGAAGTGGTGGTTGTATGAATGGAGAAAAGGGGATATTCACAAAATGTGAAGAGGTAGAAACAACAGGACTTAGGAGCAGCTTGGGTATGTACAATGAGTACAGATGAGGACTCAAGGATGACACTTGGGTGTAACAGGCCTAGGTGACTGGGAAGAAGATGGTACCATCAATAGAAATAGGGAAGATCAGAATGGGGAGGGTTTAGAGGAAATAAAATAAGTTCAGTTTTAGACATTTTGAAATTAAAATGTCTTTGGGACATCCAGTTCAAGATATCCAGTAGGCAGTTGGTGATATGGGAGGTTAGGGCTGGATAAATAGATCTGAGAATCATCTGCATAGACATCCTTTCTTCCTACCTGATTGAGTCTGGCGTGGCTTGGCTTTGCATCTTAAGGACAAAAAAATCTGTGGAAGAAAGCCAGGAAAGCTGCATTGAGCTTAGAAAATGGGACCCTGATAGCTCCCTGCTACTATATCCCAAGGCTGATTGCCTCCAGTAACTGAGTCAAGGCCACCCCTCCCTCTGTCTCCTTACTCAACTCCCTGAGCCTTCCCTTCTTACAAAAACCTTATGTTATTACTATCCAGTTTATCCAAAATGTACCATTCCACCCCTTCCTTGGAAACCTCTCCACTTTAAGGCTTAACCCAGCCAGGATTGGTTGGTATGTGTTACAGAAAAGCGGCCTGAAAGCTATGTTTAAAAGCCCTCTCCCCAGAGGGTCAGGGTAGATTCTTCCATGAAAATATCTACCAGGCTAACCAAATAAAGACTTTTTTTGCTTTATCTCTGGTCTCTTGCTTGCTTACCTACCCTGTACTTACAAACCCACTGGGATTGGCAAGTAATGACTCCTCAGGATCTACTTCAAATTTAATTTTACCACAAATACTTTGGGTTGAATTAAACTGTAATTTAAAAACTCAAATCCTGTATTCCACCATCATGAGGAAATTTTTCTAGAATTGTGTGCTTTTGATAGTCGGCTTTCCTTGGTTAAATTGGAATTGATATTAATGATTTTAGCAGACTATACAATGTATTTTTTTTTAATTCTTCCTGTTCATCTGAATTCCAGTCTAATTCCTTGTTCCTTTTTGCTTTGAAACTACTTAGGGCACCTCAGATAGAATGCTCCTCATGTTTGCTGCTAGTCCCTTCTACCACAGTGCAAGGAAATAAGGTAGATTTTTCCAATCATTCTTTGCACATAGTATACACTAAATAAATATTGGTTAATTAAAATTATTTTGGTGGTAGACTTGAGGGACTGAGCTGACCCTCTACTCTCTTTTTATAGAGTGAGAAAAAAGGCATCGAGAAGAATTGTTTTTTGCTCCTGAGAATCCAAGTAACATAGCTGGGATGCAATACCTGTTCTGTCATTGAACTTATTTTTAAAAGTTTAACCCTCCACATTTAAGGAAACTAATACTTATGTGCAATTTTGAGGGAGCAAAGGTAGGATAGCAGAGAGAGCTGAAAGAGAAAGTGGTGTGTCTCACTAGTTAGAGAGCTGTTGAAGGGTTATCAGTTTGGATCTCAGTGTGGGCCACTTAGCATGCTTCTGTTCTTTACCGTAGACTTAGCTTCATTCATACTTTAAAAAAAAATTTATATATTTTAACATGTCTTTTCTTTTCAGATTTTGAGTTCCAAATTCTCTCTCTCTCCCAAATGTCTTCCATCTATTGAGAAGGCAAGCAAAATGATATCAATTATACATGTGAAATCATGTAAAACATTTCCGTGTGGGGGTGGGGAGGCACTGTCCCAAGCTTTAGGCTTTTTCATGCTGCTATTTTCAGAGCTAGTCCTGGGGGCCTGCAAGTTTTCAGTGCAACCAAGGGTAGTATGATCTGGGGAGAGGTATGGTCACTGCTCTTCTGGTCTGTGCTCTGGTCTTTACCCAGGAAGGGCCCCTGTTCCTCTTCAGCAGCAAGTGCTAGCACTCCTCCTGGTCTGGAATTGTGACCAGGTTCTCTTGCTGTCTTGTGGCTATGAACGCCAGTGCTCCTCACTGCCATGTAATCGCCTCTGGGGCCCGTGCTTACTTGTGACTGACCATGAGAACTGTTGATGGGCAATAGAATTGGCAGTCAGAGGCCGCTGCACCCAGTGTCAGCAAAGAGTCCCCTGTAATGTCTTTTTGACCAGTTGTCCAACACCCTTACCAGCTCAGGGCTGAGAGCTCCTGAAGCCGTTACTGCTGTTGTTGCCACTGTTACCGCTGCCTCCTAGGCCCACCACTGGCACTGCTGTTTAATGTTCTGGATGGCCCCCACCCCAGTGTCACAAACCTGTCCTGCTGACCTCCTCAGTTGTCATAGGCTGGAAAAACCTTTTGTTGGCTCTGCTGCTCCAAAATTTGATTTGAGGAGTTGAATTTTAAAGTTGTTTGGCGGGGAATGTGGGGAGAGTGCAGTTGGGTTGCTGCCTGTACTCTGCCATCTTGGCTCTGCCTCCACTTCATTCATTCTTAAATATGTTACAGACAAATAAGGGAGTGAATGGGTTAACTTAAATCTGCCTTCACTATTGGGAAAATAACCCAAAGTGCATGTCCTGTAATTGTTAGGTTAGTAATGCCATTTAGAGATTTACAGATAACATTATTACGTTAGCCTAATATGTTGTGCCACAGGGTTGACAAGAGGGTATTCAGGAACATTCTGTTCTCAGGCCACTTAGCTCAGTTTTGTTCAGTGGTACAAACTGCTATTTTTTTATTGAATTTTTTTTCAATTAAAAATGGGCTGCTATTTTCTTAATATACAAAGGATAGTCCACTTTTAGAGAGGGTTGAGGGGGCTTAGTTTGCAGTCTCACTCAAGGGAATCTTGAAATGTTTTGTGTTAGGCACAGGACATTTAAGAGAGCTTAGATGATGGGACAGAGGTAGGTGAAGCAATGTTAGGGATTGCTTGAAAGACTAGGAGTTTTATGTGTACTCAAAAGCGTTTTTATCATTGTGCACATGCATGATCTCGCCTTTCTTCCCAAGGAGATGGATGCACCTCATCATTTCCCCCGGGAGATTCCACATAATGAGAAACTCCTGTCTCTGAAGTATGAGGTAAGCATTGCCTTTGGGAATTTCAGATTTCACTGCAAAGCCTCCCTTTGTTACCCACTCCATAATGGCAAATCATGTCTAAGGGTCTCTGCCTTCTTTAAGGAGGCTCCTTGTAGTCTACCATCTTCCTGCTCAGAATAGCTACCAATCTGGAACAGACTTTGTATATCTGAAGAAAATAATGTATGTAGCCTTGTGAAGAAATAAAACCTTGTGGTGGACTAACTCCAACTCAGTCCACCTGGGTACATGGGTGCAGGCATGGGAACAACCCTGAAAAGATGTTTCCAGGATCACTGGGGGCTGGTGAAACATTGTGCCATGTATAGTTATGTTTGATGCTAACAAAGCTGGTTCTGACGTTCTCACAAAATTAAGCCATCTGTTATCTCTCTATATCTGTTTTTTAAACAAAACAATTTTATTTTCCTGGGTCATTGGAAAGGTGCCAGCTTCAGAAAGGTCACATTGGATCTCCATTGGTCTCTTTCCATTTTACCAGATAGTGCCTGGGAATATTTCCATCTGCCCCTGAGAAACCAGCTACGCCTTTTTCCCAAGCCTGTTCCCTGCGGCTGCTCTGTCCTGGGTTTGCCTAAAAAATGGGGGATAGTAAGCAGAATGTTTTCTTTTCTTTACTGTTACCTACAGAGTTTGGATTATGACAATAGTGAAAACCAGTTGTTCCTGGAAGAAGAGAGGAGAATAAACCACACAGTGAGTTTGGGTTCAGAGTTGGGTAGCTCAAGAAGCTGTCTGCCACCTAACTGGACTAATGAGCCTGAAATAGAATCCATCCATCACATAACAGCAAAATGGTAGCATTCTGGGACATGGAATCTCATCTGTCCTTGAGTTATTCTCTAGATTTTATTTCAGACTGCCTTTACATTGTTTCCTTCTCTGTACAATAGTGGGACTTCCAGAATTCTTCACAGTCATATCTCTAAGTTCTGATGCTGTTGGCATTCTCACATATTCTGTGCTCAATAAATAGCACAGTCCTCCACAGGATGGAAAATTTGATCTTCCTGACAAAAACAATGAGCACAGTTTCTTCTGTCTTAAGAATCAAAATTAAAATGTGTGGCCATTTTGGGTGTAGCATCATTTTCAAAGGGGGAACAGACAGAAAAAAATCTTCTACAGTAGACTTATCTGTTAAAATTGGATAACTGAAGAACCACCATAATGTTGCAGATGTGACATTCATTGGGATGAATGTTTATAAGATGACGGTATACATTGCTGCGGGTGCAATAACCCAATCAGGCCCTGCTGTGTTTCATTGTTGAGATAGGTATTTATGGTAGAATGCTTTTCGAATGTGGCTCTGAAAGTAATAGTCCAAAGCATACTGTGAATAATCTGTCACTCACAAGATTGGGGTTCAGGTATAAAATTCATTTTGGGATTATCAAGCATTTGCCAAAAAGCAGCCTGTATTAGAATTACATATCTGCAGGAGTGACTTCCCCATCACTGCCTAATTCTAACGGTTATCTTTCTTCTGCACAGGCTTTTCGGACAGTAGAGATCAAACGCTGGGTCATCTGTGCCATGATTGGGATTCTGACTGGCTTAGTTGCATGCTTCATTGACATCGTAGTGGAGAACTTGGCAGGACTGAAATACCGAGTAGTAAAAGACAGTATCCTTTGGCTCTGGTTGTCCAGTAGTGTGTAGGGTATGCAGGGGATGAGGAGGGCAAAGTGGCCAGAGCTTCTCCGCATTTAGGAAGTCCTGGTATAAATGGAATTGAATTGCTTACATGGATATGCAGCAGGTTATAGCTGGGTGCAGGCCCATGCTGATCAGTAAGTCTCTATTGAGCACCTGCAGTGTGTCCTCCGGGTGGAGGATGCAGATGGTCTGTGGCCTCAAAGAGTTTATAGTCTATTTGGAGATTGTATGTGATCTAGCTAGAGTACAAATCTACCCTGATCTTCTGGTATTTTAATGTTTAGGTAGGTGAGAAAACCCGATGGCCACTGTTGGCATCTTCTCTGCCCCCACCTCAGCTCAGGAGAGCAGTTTGGGAGCTTGATTAATGACAAAGCCAGAAGTCGGGGGAGGGGAGGGGTTGTCAAATGAGGTAAGTCTGTGCGTGCCTTGTTTACCAGACAGTGCTGAAGGGAAGTGGATCTTGTCCAGACAGTAACGTTGAACATTGCCAGTTCTCTTAATGAGTCCTCCAGATATTGACAAGTTTACAGAAAAGGGGGGATTGTCTTTCTCCCTGTTACTCTGGGCAACACTGAATTCGGCCTTTGTGATCGTCGGCTCCGTGATTGTTGCCTTTATAGAGGTATGGTTTAAAAAGTACACCGAGCTAGCCTGGGATCTCTGCCCACGCCTACTTTAGGTGAGACTGGGAAGGCTCCAGGGCCAACGGGTAGATGGCAATAAGTTAGCATTAGTGGAGGGCAGTGTGGTCTGGTGGATAGTGTGCTAGGCATGGAGTGAGGAAGACTTTGGTCTACATCCTTCCTCTGCCACTTATTAGCTCTACAATCATTGGCAAATTATTGAGCCCTAAGACTTGTCTGCCATGGCACTTGATAAATAGTTATTTATTGATGTTCTTCCGAGCTACAGAGGAACAAACATTCCCATTTCACAGATGGGAAAACTGAGGAACCAAGGGGTTAAGTGACTTGTCCCAAGATACGTTGTTAGTGGCAAGATGAAGACTGAAATCTGTGTTTCATGGCTCCCTTTTAAGGGCTTTTGTCATTTAATTACATACCCCTATTAGTCAATCTTAGTATTTAACTTTGTCAAGTTAAATATTTGTTCATTTAATAGCATTTATTAGGCCTTCAAGATACCACATGCTGTGCTGGTCAGTGGAGGGTGAGCAGTGTACAAATAACTGCAGAATTCCTTGAGACACTCCTCCTTATATCCTGGGAATGCCAAACTGAGCGTTACCTCAAGGAGATTATATTCTAGTAATTTACTATTCTCATTACATTCAGTGCTTGGTTCTTATGAAGCCAGCATCTTTTCATCTGTTGTTTAGGCAACAGTTTTGATATCTTGGATTAAACCATGGGTTAAAACATTTCACAAATTTTGGTGATCCTACTTTGGGTTCATTTGTGTCAACCAGTCCTTTTGTTGGAAATACTCCTTATACTGTTTCTTCTTTCCTTGAAGCCTGTCGCTGCTGGCAGTGGAATTCCCCAGATTAAATGCTTCCTCAATGGTGTCAAGATTCCCCATGTGGTTCGACTCAAGGTAAAATGCCTAGAGGTAGTTGGTTTTCCCTGTCTTCTAGGATGCAGAGTAGGGCTTTTGGCTACTTTATTAAAAATAATACCTTTGAATTAGGGAAGCCCATGGGTGTGGTTCTAGTCATAGGCGTCCTCTTTAGTCTATATATTCCTTGCCCTCTGAGATACCCCTGAAAAGTGAGACCCTCATCGTTGGTGTCATCCTTGGCTTTTCCCTTCTGTTGTCAGCAAAGGAGGCAGGCACATGTTCCATTACACTCATTTAAGTATAGTTTTTAAAAGTCTGTGTTTCCCTAAAGAAACTGTAAGACTGAAATGATAGAATTCCCTTTGGGAATCATGGCTTGAATTGGTCACATTCTGTTATGGCAAATACCACTTCAGACTTTTGAGGCTTAGGAAAGGACTCATTTTGAATAATGGACCTGCAGATGTTTTTAATCTGAATGAAAACAAACCATTTCATTTCTTCTCATTGCTGTTCAAGTCAACAAAAGAACTGCTACTAGTCCAGAGTGTTTTACCAAACAGGATTCTACCTGTTCTATCAGTGTTTAAGAGCAATGCTATTAGGGGTAGAGACTGATTGTATTTACCAGATGGCCCTTTGGCATCTGCCAGAATTGAGGGTTTCAAAACAAGATTGTCCCTCTCTTACATGTCCCCTGTTTGGGTTCTAAACCTGAGTGGAAAAGAAGGGGAAAGGCTAGAACACTTGGATAGCCATGTATATTTATTGAACATCTGTTTTGTGCCCCATCCTTATATTGAGGAATATGAAAGAATGATTTTTTATTTAAAAAATGTGTACCTACTATGGATTAAACTGATTAGTATAGTGGGGCATTAAGACTTGTAGCAAGGCACAGAGTTTAAGTTCTCTATTAGAAAATAAATATTAACATGGAAAGTGAAACAATGCCATAGGTGTTTAGAGTAGGCTAGAGGTGCAGGGAAGGTTTCCCAGAAAGGGGGGTCTTGAGTGGGGCTTTGAAAGTTGGCTAGGAATTCAGATAGCTGGATAAGAGGATAAAGGGCAAATCAGAAAAGAGAACAGTGTGAACAGAGCCCTAGAAACAAGAATGAGCATGTACAGAGGATAACCCGGAGAACAGCATGGGTGAAGGAGAAGGGTCCCTTTGAGAGTAAAGCAGACTGTGAAGCCTACAATGGTAAGGATTTGTACTATAGCTCATGTAGACAGTGGGGAGCCAATGAAGGGTTCTGAGTGGGGCAGTGGTTTATTGAAAGTGATGTTTTTAGGATGATCATCCTGTAGCAGTATGCAGGATAGATTGAATTGGGGACACACTAGAGGCAGAATATTTTCTACAAAAATCCAGGTGTATGACAGGGGTAGAACTAAAGCTGGAAAGGGGGCCTCAGAGCCCATCTAGTCCAGCCCCTTCCATTCTACAGATGAGTAAAATGAGGCCGAGAGAGGTGAAGTGGCTTGTCCATGGTCACATAGGTAGTAAGTGCCAGAGGTGGGATTTGAATCCAGGTTGTCTGACTCCAGAACCAGCACTTTTTTGATTGAAGATGCGTGGACTGCAGTAGAACCAATGAGACTGGAAAAGAAGAGATGAATGCAAGAAACATTGTGAAGAAAGAATCAGCTGACCCTGGTGACCAGATATGAGCCAGACAAAATGGAGCATAGTGAGACTAAGTGTAGGACTAAGTGTGAAATGATGTTGTTCAAGCTTTGGGTGCTATTAAATTTAGAAGAGGAGGAGATCAGGGCGGGCGAGAGTATTTGCAGGGAAGTTCCTGAAGGAAGCCCTTTATCTGAATCTTTTCTTTTGTTTTTGATCTGTCATCCCACTCATGAGAAGTAAATTACTTCTTTAATGGTGCTTGACCCATAGGAGGTGTATATTCAGGGCTGGTTGATTTGGATTGAATTAACTTACTTTTCTTTTCTCCTTAATGATGTTCCCTTTATATTCTAGACACTGGTGATTAAAGTGTGTGGTGTGATTTTATCTGTGGTTGGAGGACTGGCTGTTGGAAAGGTAAAGGAATTAGAAGCATAAATATGACTGTTGTTCCATTGTGTCACCCTTCTGAGAGCCACTGAAGGGTATTATGTATCTAAAAACAATTTTTAAAACTCGATTCCTGTCCTCACCTCTGTACTCCTCTGTGTCTTTTAGGAAGGGCCAATGATTCACTCTGGAGCTGTTATAGCAGCTGGTATTTCTCAAGGAAGATCAACCTCTTTGAAGAAAGACTTCAAGGTGAGCAGCTCACTTATAAATTCTGAAGTGGAAAATGAGGGAGCAGAGATTAGGCCATGTTCAGTAGGGATCCCATGGTCTAGTAGAGTTGGTAGGGACTCAGAAGTCATAATTAAAGCTGACTGCCCCCATGAGGTAGTGTAATCCATTGTTAGCTCAAAAATTCATACAAAATCTGTCTTCTTGTAATGTCTACCCAGTGCTCCTAATTCTATTCTCTTAAGCCATACTGAATGCGCACTTACTTTATGTGAGGGAAAACCTTGATCATATGCTGCTCCATCCTGTTTCTTCTGTTGGCTAAGTATCTCCAGTTCATTTACCTGTTCTTTGTGACATTGTTTTCAAATCCCTCTGCACCTTGATCAGTCTTCTAGTTGATTTCTGGTTTTTCAGTATCTTCTGTAGGAGTCTATGCTTATACCTTTGTAGGTCTCCAAAGAAAACGGTAGTCTCCTTTAAATCTGAATGAAAAAGAACCATTTTGTGTAGTAACTTTGGTTGCCAGAATGTGAAGGGTTAAAAAGTTGATTGGTTTATATTATATAGGAAAATTAGATGTGTAGGTATAGGCATTTGACTTTGTCAGTTTTATTTGAGCCATATTTTATATTCTGACCTGACTATGCTGCCATGGCAGTGACTTTGTTACTGATATAGAAACTGAGATTGCCAGGCCCAGAAAGTGCCACAGGGTGCTCAACAGAGTGGGACTTGTCTCCCTATCTCCTCTGTCTTCAACCTTGCTCATACCTCCTCTAACCTAAGGTAACCTTCTCTTGACCCTTTTATCCCCCCAAGCTATAATCTTATCTATATCTATCTCTTCCCTTTCACTGCCAAACTGTTAAAAAAGAACATCTGGTCCATATTGGCCCCACTTCCTCTGCTTCTATGAAGTAACCCCTTTGATACTTTGATTACTATGGCACTAAATCTGTAAATTAATTAGGTAGTATTATCATTTGTATTATATTTATTTTATTTAAATACTATAATACTTAAGTGCATTTATATTATTCTTCATAGGTGAAAAGATAATGAATTTTTTTTCTGTTATAGCTACTCATAAAGTTAATTTTCTAAATTTTAGAGTGGTTGCAGTTTACATAAGTGGAGAGATTACCTACATCAATAAAAATAATGGTATATATATAATATATATATATATATAGCCTTTAAAAGTTTGTAAAATATCTTATATATATATATTACAATAAAATCTTAGCTTCTTGAAGTATTAAAGGTTTTTAAGAGAGAAGCAAAGCATTTGGGGATAGTGATCTAATTTTGACTTATGCCACTTAGAAATGGGAAAATGCCTGGTAGGGAAAGCTACCACCCAGCCCAGAATCACTTTGTAGATGGCTCATCCTCCTTTAAGGAAGCCCAGGTGTGGGGTACCGCAGGGTGAGTGCTGAGAGAGAAGGGACATGGATGAGTTGTATTTGAGGGCTCTGGGTAACAGCGCCACATGAAGTCAAGTCAAGAAGCATTTATCAAGTGCCTACTACATAGCATACTCGAGAAACTAACTAGGTCAGGTAGCATGTAGGATTCCTTGGCTACCTTTTCCTTACCTGAGAGGATTACTTTAAGAAAACCTGAGGAGATGATCTATAAACCTTGTTCCTGTCATTGCAGATCTTTGAATACTTCCGAAGAGACACAGAGAAGCGAGACTTTGTTTCAGCGGGAGCAGCGGCTGGTGTCTCGGCTGCTTTTGGAGCCCCTGTAGGTAAGATTCCCTGTCTTATGTTTAATCTTGGTTGTCCCTGTAACATCCTAGATGCTTCATACATTATAGGCAGCTCAAGTGGTCGTATGTCAGTGACCTCAGGAATTTTTCCTTGATGAAGTAGATTGTCTTTTGGGAAACCTGTTCCTAAGTACCACCCTTACCTAGGTGGTAGAAGTCAAGAATATTTTCAAATTAGTTGTTCTGTGCATATTTGGGTTCCCTTCCTTCCCCTCTATACCTTTGACAAGAAATCAGAAAATTTACAAAAACCTAGATGTCATCATTTATCTTGTCTGTGTCTTGTTTATACCTAATTGTTTGCATGATTCCCCCAGTAGAATGTGAGCTCCTTGAGAGCAAGTACTGGTGTTTTTGGGGTTTTGTGTGTGTGTGTGTGTGTGTGTGTGTGTGTGTGTGTGTGTGTTTTGTATTCCCAGCATTTAGCATAGTGCCTGCTACATAGTAGGCACTTGATAAATGCTTCTTGACTTGACGTCATGCGGCCCTGTTACCCAGAGCCCTCAGTCAGGGAGGACTGGACGAACTGATGGACCTTTCCCCGTCAGTCAGTTTTTGCCCTTTTCCCTGTCTTCAGTATTATTTGTGTATCATTCTATAGCACTCTGCCTGTACTCCTTGGGTCTTAGCCAGATGACTGCAGGAGATCTTAGACTTCCCTTGTAATCTGCAGCCTGGCTATAGCCACATCACTGGGGTCTGCCCAGGGAATTAGGAGACTTTTGTTCTTTCAGGGGGCGTCCTGTTCAGCTTGGAAGAAGGTGCTTCCTTCTGGAATCAGTTCCTGACATGGAGAATTGTGAGTGAGATAGATTTTGTGAAAGCACAGGCTTCCTTTTCATTGCCAACAAGATAAGTACACCTTTACAGAGTGGCTTGAGAAGTCTTTCTTGGTGCTTTCCTCTTTTTGAAGAATCTTTTGTTTTCAGCAGTTGCTATGGGTTAATGTATGGGCATTTTACTTCTGCTTTGTTTCCATAAACTCATGTCCCTTGTTATGAAGGGTTAATCCTCTACCACAAATTTATGGGAAGAACATATGAGGATGTGCTTGGCATATTGTCAGTTGATAGGATTACTCTGAGTTTGTCTGTTATACATACAGGGCTTCACTACTGTGTACAGTTATCCCTTCCACATCATGGGGATTAGGGGTGCAGTGCCTCAGTAATCTGGAAAATCAGCATAAAATTTTTGGCCCTCCCAAAGTACCAGAGAAGAAGTCTGAATTATTATAGCATTAAGAGATAAAATGTGTTGATATTATACAATACTATACATATATTTTATGCATTTCTGAATTTCTAAACTTTTTCTGTGTTGTCTGCTGGCCTTCATGTGTCTTCGGCAGCTTCCACAAAACTCCCAAAAATTACAATTTAATTTCTTATGTCGATCCACAATATAGCAAAACCACAATGGGGAAAGTCGTGATGTAGAAGGGATGACTGTAATTTGAGTCTTCAAATATTTTAGAGTTGTCTCTTTTCTCATCAGGCCTAAAAATTGTTTGCTTTCTAGTCAGTTGTTACAACCTTCATATTTCTTCTCCCCATTACCTTGACTATTTCATGCCTCTCCTAAGGTAGCTTTTATTACCCTCTAGATCAGGTATAAGAACCACAGTTAGCTTCAGGGTCCTTCAGCAGCCCACCTTGAACCCTTTTCTCCCCCTTGCCCAACCCATCTTTCTTCTGGTCTCCAGGATTCAGCATACCCTTCATCTAGTCTTCCCATGCTTGTTTCTAAGCCCCCTCTCAAGCCACACCCCATGCCTAGAGCCAGTCCCTCCATGCCTAACTCACCAAGACCTCTGTCCTTTAGATAGCTTCTGAAGCACCAGCTCTAAGAAGCCTCCCCTTGTTGGAAGAAAAGCATCAAAATTCTTGGTGACCTCGCCCTCTTTAAACTGGCACTTCCTGGGATTTGCTTTCACCCTGATCTTACCCACTTAGCTCTTTAATTAGAAATACTTTGTTTTGGCTGTTGGACACAAGAGAGGAGCCTGCTTTGTTTGAAGTATTGTTTCCTAGCAACATGCCTGTTTTTCTGTTTATCCCACAGTTCTTTGCCTCCATGATTTCCACATTCACCCTGAATTTTGTTCTAAGTATTTACCATGGAAACATGTGGGATCTCTCTAGCCCTGGTCTCATCAATTTTGGAAGATTTGACACTGAGGTAACCATTAATATGTAAAACCTTCAATCACACATCATGTCTTCTTACCTCCTTGGGTGCCTAGATAACAGGAGCCACCAATATTGAGATTCTGGATTTTTCTTTTTATGCTAACTCTGGAAGCAAACCATTCCTCTGTGTGAAATCCAGTGTCTTAGTGGGATTCAGTTGTCACCGTCCAGTGCAGCCAAAAGAGTACTATGAACAGGGGGCAGGAGACCTGGGGATTTGTCACAGTTCTGCCACTGACTAAATTGTGGTCATGGAAAAGTCCAGGAGCTTGTCTGCACCTCAGTTGTTTCAGATGTTAGAATGAAAAGTTGGATTCTCCTCATTGTAGATTTCTAGCATTCTGTCTGGGATTGTGCTGACCAAATGGAGTATGTTTGAAGTCTGCAGCAGTTCAGGAGTTTAGATATCATAGCTGTGTGCTTCACCAAAGATGCTGGCTGATGCATCTCATTGACTCTGAAAACTAGGGAGATAATTGTGCTTTCCATCTGTGTTTCAGTAGGTGACAGGGGAAGGGAAGAGCATTTGGAGCTCATTACTCAAGGTTTATGCCAGTAAGTCTTAAAATTAAACTACTTTTTCCTCCTTTCTCTGTTTGTACAGAAAATGGCATACACAATCCATGAGATCCCCATCTTCATTGCCATGGGTGTAGTGGGTAAGGAGAATTTCTTTTGAATTCATTAGAAATCTAGCTTTGTCATCCTCCCCCCATCTTTTTTTAATTTTAATTTTTACCAAAGCCCATCCCACTTTTGTTAAACATTTATGGAAAGAGACTTTCTAAACATGCCTTTTGAAATGGCAGGAGCCCCAGTTAATTCTCTGGAGAACCTTTCTGTATCTTTTGGCCTGAATAAGAATGTGCTAAGGGCTGGAAGATTGCCAAGATCTGAGGCACAGGTTAGCTTTGTGAAGCAGCTTTTAAGGATCCTCCATGAAAACCCTGGAATGAACTGTTCGGTTATTCAGTGATGCTACTTACACACACCATGGCTGCTGTCACTTATTTTTCCTGGTGCTTTGAGGTCTGTGTTTCAGAAGAGCTGCCGCCAATCTAAGGATTTAAGTTACTTACATATTCATCTTTGTGGCAGCAGAATTTACATTCCTATGTTACTTGGGCTGTAAGATATTGTATTTGGATTTTCATTGATGGAGAAAAATAAAAATTCAGGGGAATGAATGTAGGTTTTGGTTGTTGTTTTTAATTTAGAACTCTCCTGCATGCTAAGGGGAAGGATGGTCTTATCCTCACCTAAATTTAACACATGCTAAGAATTATCTTCCATTTAATTAAAGGACTTTGAAGATTAAACAAATCTATCTTTCAGAATGTGGTACTATAGAGAAGCCATTTAAAAATACCGTTTGCTTCACATCTTAGTCTCTTCTACCAAGCTTCTGGGAAATGGTTCCTTAACTGGGGAAATGTGAAGCACCCAGCTCTCCCAAATTGTTAATAGCATAGGAAATTCAGATTTCAAAGCTGACCTTTCCTCTTGTTTGCTTCTTTCTGGCTATAGGTGGTATTCTTGGAGCAGTGTTCAATGCCTTGAATTATTGGCTGACAATGTTTCGCATGAGGTAAAAGGTCCCATTGGAATTGTGTTCATACAAAGAGTGACACAGAGAAAGGAATTTCAGGATTTTTCATGGGATCATGGATTTTGAACTACATATCTTAGACTGGAACAATATAGAGTAATTAGGGACCTGGAACAGGGATAACAGGCCATGGGAAATGGAATGGCACCCAGGCAGTGACCTCAGCTATTTCTTTTTTATATTTACCTGAATCCAGCCTAAGAGGGGGAACTGGGGCCTACAGTTTTCTCTTGTCTTGGTGTATTTAAGAAGCTGTTGATGCTTCCCCTTCCTGGACTGGTTAAATACAGCACTCCTTGGATAAGAAGATAAATTGTTTCTTACTGGTTTCAGAGAGTATATCTCCTTATTGATATTTTGGCTACATTAATTAAGACAAGTAGTATAGCACAGGGATTTTCATAGTTCGTACACAAATTAATCTTTAACTTTGAGAAAGGGTTGTTATGGTTACTGTTTAATACTGTATTGCCACCAGTTTCTGCAACTAACAGAGGTCAGTGACAGGAGTGGTGGTGGGGATTGCTACAGTGTGTATGTATTTGAGCCTTGCTGTAGAGTTCCTGCAGTCAACACCCTAGCATATGCATTAATTTAGGGAATAAGAGATACAGATAATTCCAAAATAACCCACATTTGGCTTTTAGATATTGTTAGATACTCATTTTACTTTCATACACCTGCTTATCAAGATCTAGCTTGGTCGATATCATGAATGAGGAGGACAGGCAGGCAGGCTAGGCCATTGAATGGCTGATTTGACTATAATCCATAATAATGGTGTTCCCTTAGGGATGCTTCTCTGAGTGATGATTTCTCACTTGTAATTTGTGTGATTCTGTCATTGATACAGAAAGGCTCACCTTGAGCTGTTTGATTCCACAGGTACATTCACCGCCCTTGCCTCCAGGTGATTGAAGCCATGCTTGTGGCTGCAGTCACTGCCACAGTTGCATTTGTACTGATTTACTCATCTCGGGATTGCCAGCCACTTCAAGGGAATTCCATGTCTTACCCACTTCAGGTAAGAGGGTGGAGCCATGAGGCTCCAACATGGCACCAGTGGGATCCCCCCAGTAGTCAGGGCCAATAGTAGAAACTATATCATGGTGGACATTCCCAGGGGCTTTCCCTCTCCCTTCTTACATGTTCTTATTTTCCATCCCATTTGCCTGGCAGAAAGGCATTGCTCTAAGACAGTTTACTTCTCAGGATTGGGCTGGTTTTGTTTTGAATAAGAAATCTCACTTTATTAACCAGGCAGGTTGGGAAGAATTAGAGTAGGTCTCTTATGGGTACCCTGAGTGCTGTTCTCTTTGAGCTTCTAAAATGACTTATGTAAATAGTAAAATAAGTGTTTAAAGACTCGAGGAACATGCTTAGCTCTCATTGTGAGTACAGTGGAATAAATTTGCCCAGCAGCAGGCTAACTCTGCCACAGACGTCTAGGTATAGAACTTGGGTCAGGTTGCCTTTAAGCCTACAGTCCCTGCCTTTGCCCTATTGAATTCTTTGAAAGTAGCATCAGATAGTATTGATTTAGAGACACTCCTTATAGTTATGAGCTATTAGAAAACCATTTTCTCCCAGATTCATCTAGACTCAAGGATGTGGCCTCATGAAACTGAATAAGGTAAGGAATCAGGTTTTACCAAGCCCTCCAAAAAGTATTAATGATATTCATGTGAGCCTCATTCTGTTTCCTGGTTGAAGGACTCTATATACTAGCTGTGGGCCTTGTTTCTTCACTGTTCTTCAAAATAGTAAGACCTGACCACCTTGTATTTGTTTGTGCTGAGGAAACTCTTAGTCCACCTTTACTGGAGAAGACACCAAGTCTGTGTTACTCAGGATATTCTAACAGACATCTGATTTTCCTTTCTGTCCTTCAATCCCACAGCTGTTCTGTGCAGATGGAGAATATAATTCGATGGCTGCAGCCTTCTTCAACACCCCGGAGAAAAGTGTTGTCAGCCTTTTTCATGACCCCCCAGGTCTGTTACTTTGATCAACATGGCATCAAGCTAGAATCAGAATTTGGCCTACACTTGTTCCCATGGGGGGAACTGAATTTGACAATGGGGAGAATGTTGAACGATAGATGAACTGTTGTTAAATTTTCATATTGCTTGGCACTGGCCCTTCAGATTATGAACAGAATTTAGTGGAAGTAGAGGGGGAAAAGGGAAGGCTGTTACAATGGCCCTCAAACTCAGAGTCTTCACAGGGAATTGAGTCGTTGTCCTTAGGTATAGTAATGATAGATCTGATACTGTGACTCATAGTGAACAGAGCTGGCCCCTAGAGAAGAAAATGTTCAAGTTATTCAGCTTTATAAGATGGGGTTTTTTGTCCACCAGATGGGGAATAAAAAAACCATGGGAAGGTAATGGTGTACAAGGAGATGGAGTTGGGCAAGAGCACAGGGCAAGGACTGTAGGCTTGAATTTTTGTGTTTTTTGAAAGAGTGATGGGCTTGGCCAGTTTAATAGACTCCATCTTCCTTCCTTCCTGGGGAATGATCTGCTTTGGGAGGCTCTGAGGTCTTTCCATCATTTACTGGGATTTCATTTTCATGAATGACTTTACCTTCTGTGAATTGTTTCTGAAATTTTAGTTTTGGTCAGAATACTAAGCACATTCCCCAAGTCAAAGTAATGTTCTAAATTGTGACCATAACACTTTGTCTTGTTTTCTCTGACAGCTGAGCATTTAAAGAAAAATCATGATGTCTCTGTTTAGTTTCGTTAGTAGTGTGGACATGAGGCAGAAGGAAAGAAGAAGGCAGGGCAGTTACCACTGACTTACTCTATGACTTTGGATATAATGAGTCATAGGACGCTAGAGCTGGCAGGGCCCTAGGAGACCATCTAGTCTGTCTGCCATCTATGAAAGAGGAGAAAACTCTGGCCCAGGGGAAAGAAAAGTGAGTTAGCTGGAAAGCCCAGCCCTAAGACACCAAGTTTGATCTTTCATCTGCACTGCATGGCTTCTAGTCACTTAACTTCTCTGCTTTTTTTCCCTTGTAAAATGGAGTTGTTCCATGTAAATATCAGATATTTGCAAATGTAAAATATTTACATTTTCTGAAATATTTGTTCTGAAATAAGTTGGATTGCTAGTAGTTAAACTGTCCCAGCTCAGCCTCTGTCACAGTCTGAGAGGTGTCCTTGGTGAGGTCTTCCCATTTCTGTGCCCAAGTTCCTCTGCCTGTGATTTACTCAGCTTCACATAACTTTCAGTTCTACATGGGTGACAGATGCCATCAGAATTCAGTGGATCTTGAAATTTCTTACCTGCTCAATTTCACCTTCACTTGTGGGACCCATCTGCAGCCCTCTCTTATTTTCATTAAGACCTCAAGAGGCAAGCCTGCTTGTTGTACAATGTTTCCCATATGTTTTCGACTATGACATGGGATACCCACATGGGGAAAGCTCTTCGGTTGCTGCCAGCAGCCAGGGTGTAATTCCAGATGTCTGCATCTGGAATAATTTTTAAAACTTGTTTTTTCACCTGAGCCTTGATAGGTTCTTATTTGGGCTTTCCATACCAACTTCCTAAGCTCTAGTTCACCGGTGTGGAAGGAATAGAGAAAAAATAGCCTTGGTAAGGTTCCCATTCTGCAACTTTCAGTCGTGCTGTTTTTAGTGTATTGAACAGGGGCTGAGGCTGCCTCTTGCTGCCTCTGTGGTGGAGGAAGTCTTACCCTCCCACCCCCCCCATCCCTTCCCCTAACCTGCCCTCCCCCTCCCCCACAGGAACACATCATCGTAAGCAGAAACTTTCCCTGCCTCTCACAGACAGCTTGTGAGTGTAGTCTTGGTGGCCATATCCTTAGGACATCTCTGCCTGGTATATCCTCAGTATTTTTAAAGAATAACTAAGAAAACTACTTGTTAACGTGGTATCAGGATTTGGTTGAGTTTGTGATATAGTAGTTGAAATAAAGGAACAGTGTCAAGAAAGGAGGGGACTGAGACTTGGGTAGCTTGAGTTTAGCTTCCTTCAGTGCTGACTTCTTGCTTCACAAATTGCTTCTCTTGTCTTCTGCCCTCGGTTTTTCTATCTCTAAAATAGGAAGAGGGATTTGTCTTACCATCCTTTTTCCTGAAAATCCTGAGAATGAGTGAAAGTCCTAGAACAAACCCTAGGGTATGCCGTGAAAGGGGACAAAATAACTAGCAGCATGTGGTTAGGGATGAAGCCTTCTTCATCAGCCCTTGATCAGGATGATCAGAATGGGATTTAAGATAAGCTGTGAAGTAGTAGGATTTCAGTGTTCATTGTGCTGTTTACCCTTTCATGGCCAGCAATATTCATGCAAAATTTTCACTGCTTCTTTTTTGGGAGCAGTGTGATGTTTTGTGTTTTTGTTTTGTTGGGAATAGCCAGTGTTGTGGAGAGACAATGGAACCTCAGGAGAGACATATAGTACATCCCCCTGACTTCTCTGCATCTCCTGCCTTCCCTAGGTTCCTACAACCCCATGACCCTAGGACTATTCACTCTGGTCTATTTCCTGCTGGCGTGTTGGACCTATGGGCTCACTGTGTCTGCTGGAGTCTTCATTCCATCCCTCCTCATTGGTGCTGCCTGGGGAAGACTCTTTGGCATATCACTGTCCTACCTTACCAGTGCTGCAGTGAGTATCCCCTTTGTCCTGCCAGCTGACGGGGTCTGGAGAGAAATTAGGGGTAAATAGATACATTTTGAAATGTCCTCTTATGCTACCCAGAGAGAGAGAGTGGAATCTCAGATGAACACTTGGTATATAGCTTAGAGTAACATCTTTTTTTTTAAAAATTAACTGGTATGTTTTGTTATTTCTTACCGGTAACTTCCCAACAAACATCTAGCCCACTTGTCATCCCACAAAGTATAATCCCCCAAAATTGTTGATTGATGTTAATAAAAATATGGGATGTGTTCCTTAACTTTGACAGCATGGCACTAAAATTGACCTTTGTATTTGACTAGCATTTTGTTGCCTCTCCATGTTGACTTCACTTTTATTGTTATAGTGATTATAGGGGAGGCATTATGGCATAATGGGTAGAAGGCTGGCTTTAGATTCAGAAGAACCTGGGTTTGAGTTTTGCCTCCGACATACTGGCTATATAAATATTAGGGGCAGATCACTTCATCTTTCAGAGCCCTAAGCAACTCTCAAATACAGATACAGATACATTGCAGATTTGCATCAGTAGAGAGAGTCTACACCAGGAGTCCCCCATCACTGAAGGATTCACAGATCTGGACTTCCTCTACCCACCTTATCCTGACAACCCTCACCCAAAAAGTCATTATGTTGTCTCTGCTTTCAGTCAGTTAGCGTTTAAGTACCTTTAGTTTGCTAGGCACTGGGGATACAAAGAAAAGAAAATTGATTCCTGCCCTTAAAGAACTTACATGCTAACATGGGAGATAGTTTATAAACAGTTCGGCACATACACAGCCTACAGAAGACAACTTGGGAGGGGAAGGCTCCAGCATCTGAGAGGAGCAGGAAAGGTCTCCTCTGCAGAAAGTGACCTTTGAGCCGAGTCTTGGGTCTTCTCATGTTTCTGCATAATCCTCATAAACCTTCGAATGGCATCTTTTGGCTAACAGCCACTGTTGATGGGGCTACATGTGGGTTAGCAATGCTGCTTAATAGATATGGGTTAATATTTTTGTAGCTACCCGTGAAAGCTTCTTAAGTGATAGAAGTCTAGGGAAACAGAAAGGGCATGACTTTGGGTATAGAAATTAAATTTTGAGAGTGTGATCTATTCCTCCTGACCTAGGAAATCCATTCTTATCTCAGACAAGATTCTCCAAAGTTTGGATTTGTCAGTCATTCTGCTTTTGTGGCAGTCATTAGGAAGCCAGAGACACGGAGCCTATGGTTTTGAGTTGGTGGTCTTATCTATCAGTGCTCTAACATCTCTTGTGTTTGTTTCTTCCAACTGTAGATATGGGCCGACCCTGGCAAGTATGCCCTGATGGGGGCTGCTGCCCAGCTTGGTGAGTCCTGTCTTTTGCCATAACATGAATGCATTCTAAGGAGGGAAGGTGGGATGGAGCCCCAAGGATTTAGCTTTTTAGTATCCCTGTAACTCAAACGCATATTGAGGAGAGATCTGAGACCTGATGTACTAAAACTGTTGCAAGCCTGGCATGGAAAAATAAGGGGATTCAGAAGAACTGCATTTGACCTGAAAATCTAGGGATGTGCTAACTCCCTTTTATTTTCCTCAGGTGGCATTGTGAGAATGACTCTGAGTCTGACTGTCATCATGATGGAGGCTACGAGCAACGTGACTTATGGTTTCCCCATCATGTTGGTTTTGATGACAGCAAAAATTGTTGGAGACTTCTTTATTGAGGTTTTGATATGGAAGGGAAAGAGTGAGAAAAAAATGGCATTTTTGGTCTGTGTCGTGTGACTCAAACAGATGTTCCTTTCCAATCTGTCATAATTTAGGGGGCTCTCATTAGCCAAGTGTCCTGAGTACAGGAGACAACATTGGTGCCTTTCCCACAGTGTGGCAGTGTATTATTCCTGTGAAGTAGAGATGGCCGATCTAGTGGAGGAAGGGTCTTCATCCCAAATGTTCTAAGGAAGATCCCCTCCTGTCTGCTGCCCTGGCAGATTTCACTAGCTTTTAGGAAGCAAGGGTGCATGGACCCAGAGACTCTGCTGTCTCTCACTTCTGCTTCTGGTTAGAGGAATCACTGAATCTTTCTCTTGAAAGTTCTGTGTTGGTGGAAATAATGATGATCCCCCTCTTCACCTCACAGGGAAATATGCAGGCTGAATAGGTGATTATTGTGATTCCTTAAAGATTAATAATATTTAAACATACTCTAGTGCTTCTCGTCCTGAAGATGATTTGTAATGAGTGGCCCGGGTTAAGGGGACAGCATGCAGTCATTCAGTCAGTCCAGCATTTGTGGAGCATCTACTTTGTGCCAACCACTCTGCCAAGCCTAGGGGATACAAAGAAAGGTAGAAATTGTCCTTGTCCTCAGGTAGCTTACAGTCCAGTGGGGGAGCATATGCAAACAGCTGTATACAAACTAGATGTAGACAGGAGAAACTGACAGTCATCTTAGAGGAAGGGATGCACCAGCATTAAGGGAAACTAGGAGAGTCTTCTTGAAGAAGGTGGAATTATGGCTGGAACTTAAATGGAGCAGCAAGGAGAGTACAGGGTCTGTCAGTGAACAGGAGTAGAGATGGTTATCAGCAGCAGGAGGCCAACCCTTAAGTCTGGCTTCCCCATTGGAAGAAGCCACAATCATATATCGGTTTTGTCTTCTTTCCAGGGTCTTTATGACATGCATATCCAGCTGCAGAGTGTCCCCTTCCTCCACTGGGAAGCTCCAGTTACTTCTCACTCACTCACTGCCAGGTAATGACCCTCTTTTCTGGCACCCTCACCCCCAAGATGTCCCCCCTAGGCTTTCTCTACATGTCTTAACATAGAACCAAATGACCAAGACATCAGTGGCCCAGACCTTGCTTGATAATGCACACTTTCCGAGGAAGTGAATTGTTTACCTCTGCTGGCAGAAATGAACTTTTTATTTTTAACTGTGACTTCAACTATCCCTCTTCCTGCTTCTATCTGGGACACGGTTGGTAAGTCCTGGTGTTGCAGAATCTGCCTCTTTTAAGTGGGGAGTGAGAGGCATGACATTTCTAGGAAGGGTTTTACAATCCTGTTTGTAGAAACCATAGGATTCAGAGAAATATTGAAAATTTCATTGTTGTCCAACAAAGAGATACTAAGTCTGTAGCTGTAGATTGAAACTGGTCTATAAGATACCATTAATTAACTTGACAGTAACTAAAAGGAGCATCTTTTTTTACCTAAATATTTTGAAATTGAGGCGGTATTGAGAAACCAGTGGTCTAAGTGCTGGCTTTTTCTACAGCTGCATGCTAAGAGTGCCTATTCTTCCTTCTCCATTTGCTTTCCTAACAGAGAGGTGATGAGTACACCAGTTACCTGTCTACGGAGAAGAGAGAAAGTTGGGGTTATAGTGGACGTCCTCAGTGACACTTCCTCGAATCACAATGGCTTCCCAGTGGTGGAGTACTCTGACGATGGCCAGGTAGAGGACAGATTTTGCCATAGAGAGGGAAAAGAGAAAAAAGTGGCATCCAACCTTATAAATAACCATCTCTCTTCAGCCCCTTCCCCCCAGAGAGAAGACAAGTTTATATTTGATGAGTAGTCAGGCAGACTGTCTTCATTTCACAGTTTGGGTAACTCTTGGTGGGAAGGGGAACAGACAGCCTCAGCTAATTATGGCAGACAGACGAAGGTTAATCAGAGCTGAAGTTGGATGAAGCAAGACCTAAGGGTTTTCAGTTCTGTATTTTCCCAGGCAGCTCATTGCTGTAGCCTGTGCTCTGGCTCATGTACCTGGGAATGAGAGAGGAGGTGGGGAAAGGAGTCGGGGCCATTCTTTAAAGTCCCTAAAGCCTGGGTGCATTGCCTCCTGAGCAGGAAATTTGAAAATAACCTTGGCTCTAAATCATGCTTCTGAGCACCATGTGTGCACTAAAAGATATTCTCTTTTTGCAGCCGGCAAGATTACAGGGCTTGATCCTGCGTTCCCAGTTGATTGTCCTCTTGAAGCATAAGGTGTGGTTATTCATAAGGATTTTTTTTTATTTTAGGCAATTGGGGTTAAATGATTTGCCCAGGGTCACACAGCTAGTATGTGTCAAGTGTTTGGTGTGAGGCCGGATTTGAGCTCAGGTCCTCCTGACTTCAGGGCTGGTGCTCTATCCACTGCACCACCTAGCTGCCTGTCATAAGGATTTTTTAAAAATGCCATGAGAGCCTTAAACACCAGGTGTGGACATTCCCAGACCTTGCAAATGAGCCCCTGTTCTCTGCTGCGGCAGTTTCCCTTATGTTTGGTGGTAGTTATTACCTTCTAGTTTAGAGTTCAAGTTTCAAAGACTAAATCACAGCAACAGACATACCAAGATTCTGGGTATCTTCTGCAAAGTGCCTCATCACTGCTATTCTAGAGAGTAATTTGGAATGATACCCAAAAGGCTCTTAAACTATATACGCCCTTTGCCCTGGTGATACCACTACTTGGTCTGTACTCCAGAAAAAGTGGAAAAGGATCCATATGTACAGAAATATTTATAACAGGTTTGGGGTTTTTTTGGTTTTTTGTAGTGGCAAAAAATGAGGAACTGAGGAGGTAACCATCAAGTAGAGAATGTCAAAATGAGTTGTGGAATATGAATGTGATGGAATATTGTTGTGCCATAAGAAATGATGAAAGGGATGGTTTTAGAGATGCCTGGGAAGATTTGTATGAACTGAGGTAGAGTGAAGTGAGTGGAACTAGGAGAATAGTTTATACAGTGACAATATTGTAAAGAAAATCAACTTGAAAGACTTCGTAACTGATCGGCAAAGTGACTCATCACACTTCCAAAGGACTCTGATGAAATGTGCTACTCACCTCCAGAGGGAGCAGTGATAGACTCAATGCAGATGGAAGCTTGTTTGTTTCCTCTTTTTTTTTTTTAAAGGGAAAGGAGTGGGACATGACTAATACAGGCATTTGTTTTGTATGACTATTTGTAATAAGCTTTGTTTTTCTTGCCTTCTCAGTGGGTTGGGGAGGGGGAGAAGAGAGAGAATTTGGAACTGAAAATAAAATTAAAAACAAAAGCAAAGTGCTCCATTGCTGGTACAGTGTCTAAGGGAGACCCTGTGAGATCAAAGGATGCTTTTTCCTTTTCTCTGTCCTCCACTTTAGGTGTTTGTGGAGAGGGCTAGTCTGAACCTGGTCCAGAGGAGACTGAAACTGAAGGACTTTCGAGATGCCTACCCCCGCTTCCCACCCATCCAGTCAATTCACGTGTCTCAGGATGAGCGAGAATGCATGATGGACCTCACAGAGTTCATGAACCCCTCCCCATACACAGTGCCTCAGGTAACTGGCCAGGCTGCTCCAAGATGGGAAGGGGGTTGGCACCAGAGCTGTTCCCTAAACCTCGGAACAGTGCAGGCGACTGAGAAATGAAAGGACCCCTCTGTAGGCAGTGAATGGACAACTATTACATCTCTGTGACCGTGGAGGACTTCCTGAGGGCTGAAGTGGGAGCAGTGGTGTTTGCCATTGGGCCCTTTCTGCCTTTCACAAAATATGCAATCAGTCAGTGTCTTCTCCAGAAACATATGGCAAAACTTAAGTGACTGAGAGAATCAGTATGTTGAAAAGGTCAAGCACATGCACATGTATAACCTGTGTCAGATTGCTTACCCTCTTAGGGAGGCTGGAGGGGAGGAGGGGATAGAATTTGGAACTCAAAACTTAAAAAAAATCTTTTAAAAAAATTGTTTTAACATGTAAGGGGGAAAATAAAATATTTAAAATTTTTTTAAAATAAAAATGAAAAACACATATAGAGTAAGAAGGAAGGTCAGTCACAGAGTCGTCTTTGGCCCAGGGGCAGCTAGGTGGTGCAGTAGATAAAGTTCCTGCCTTGGAGTCAGGAGGACCTGAGTTCAAATTCAGCCTCAGACACTTGACACTTACTAGCTGTGTGACCCTGGGCAAGTCACTTAACCCTGATGGTCTCACCAAAAAAAAACCAAACAACAAACTGGTCCAGAGTGCAGTGCTTCTGGAAGAAAAAGCTGCAGTCAGTCACCTCAGGAGACTGTGAGCTCCTTTAGGACAGGGACTTTGATTTTTGCCTTTGTATCCTCAGCCCTTAGCATAGTATCTTATATTTATTGGGCATTTAATTTTTTTGAACTCTAGTAATCAAGCTGATGTGGAAAACTGATTTCTGTAGAGGAGATGGCTGGCCACTTATAACTTAGGTTCTGTACTAGTTCTGTGACTGTGGGAGATGCCCAACTTGCATAAGAATACCAGAGAACTAGGAAGTGGGGCAGGCCTCTCAAGTCTTCCTTCTCAGTTCTGCCCGGGATCAGCAGTGCTCTGTGACCTTGCCTCAGGGTTGACCAGGCAGGCCTGTGAGGTCTAGGACCTGACTAGCTCTGTAGAATTGCCTCTCTGTAGTTGAATGCCTCCTATGGGCAGTCAGTTTACTCTTTGGGAATGGGAAAACTGGTAATTGGCAAGGCGACCTAAAGACTGAATAAAAGTTTGGCTTATTTCTAGGAGGCATCACTTCCGAGAGTGTTCAAGCTTTTCCGAGCACTGGGACTCAGGCATTTGGTGGTGGTAGATAATCATAATCAGGTGGGTATGAGTTCATGGGGAAAAAAGGCTCACTTCACAGTAATACAGTATTAGGTCAGCACTGACTAGGATAGTGAAGTTTATCTTACCTCTAAAATCCTAAATCCAGTCTCCTAAGGGAGCAGGGACAGAGTCGTCTGTCCCCAACCCTTTTTCCTTTGGCACAAGAGTGACTGCCCCAGGAAGAGATTTCAGATAGATCTGGCTTCCTTAACCTTGAAGGCTGTCATCTCTAAAGGCCCTACCTGTTTTTGTTATTCAGGGTGACCACTCTCTGATTCAGAACAGAAGAGTGTCTGGTGAGGCTGTCGTACCAACAATCTAAGCATCTAGTTCCCTTGTCAGAGCCAAGAGTCAGGTGGCTAAACCCGCTTGCCTCTGTTGGGTCTTTTGTACCATTTCAGTATCCAGGTCAAAGGGAAAGAAGGCCCAAACACGTCACGGCAGATATTCCAGTGACACACTCAGAAGTTTGGTTTTATCATTCGTCTCTCTGACATATCTCATTTGGTTCTGTCCTTACAGGTGGTTGGGATGGTGACGAGAAAAGACCTTGCAAGATACCGATTAGGAAAAGGAGGGTTGGAAGAGCTCTCCTTGGCTCAGACGTGAGGGGCTTCGCGTCATGTCTCTCTGCAGGGCAAGTGTTACTGACCACTGGAAACCCTCTGCCTCCTCGTGTTCCTTAGCCCTCTCATCTGAGGCCTTGTTTCTCTGGAGGCCACGGAAGTGAAAAATCCTCCCAGGCTTCCAAGCTGCCTCCCCAAGCGCAAACCTGGCTGCTCCAGGTTCCAGTTCAGTGTTTTAATTTGACATGCATTGTGGGTAGATTTGTTTACATTTTAATAATTTTGTCTCGGGTTTGTTATCATTGGATTCCATTTTTATTCTATCCTTTTATGTTTCTTTACCTGAAAGGATCAAATGAGTTTAACTTTCCTTTCTAGTTGTACTCCTTGTCTGAGAGCAAGTAGGTGAGGGAGCTTGTGTCTGTGTATACACATGTAGAGAGGATGTGGAGGCCAGTCCTGCTGCACCGAGCTGAATCCCAGAGTCTGTTACACCTGCTGTGTTCCGCTCCCGCTGACCCCGCTGTGGCCACACTGGCCGAACTTGGCTTATTTGTTTTGCACAGTCCAACACGATGCTCAGGAATCTCTCTGGGGATTTCCTGAAAGAGCCCTGAGACTGCAGTAGATGTTTCACCTTCTCCCCCCGTTACATTCCGCATAACTGGCCTGTGCCTCCCCTGTCTCGGCATGGCTTGAGGAGGCCTGTAGCATTGGTGCCTGACTGTCCTGTCTCCAGAGCAGTGGTTGTGTTTGTATTGGACCAGGGGAAGAGAAGTGGCCTGAGGACTAGGAAAGCCCCACACGCTGACCGACCTAAGTTTTTCCTGGAACTGGGCTTATGAAAAACCTTGCCTACCCTCCAGAGAGCAGCTCACAGTGTTAGTACTACCCATGAAATCCCCTTCCTTTCAGCACTGGCTCCTTGTGGGCTGAGGGGACCTCGAATCTGTTATCTCTTTCCTCCAAGGACAGACTTCAGAGCCAAACAAGTCTGGTTGTGGCAACAGAGGAAATGTGAGATGTGGCCCATCCTTACTGAGGCGGCTTGTGATTGTGGGCAACATGAGACGGATGGGTAATCTGCTGTGGCTCTGTCCCCCTGGTCTGAGGTCAGGTCGGCTGGCCTTGTCCCACCTGACTTCTCAGAGCATCCTTGCTGTGGCGTCGTGGAATCTGGAAGCTGCTTCCTGGTGGTGGTTGTGACGCCTCCTGTCATCCCATGTTGGTGGTTGTGGCATCACTCCCTCCTCCCTGAATCTTGGCCATTCAGTCAGAAACACTTCTTTTAAGCACGCTTTCTTAGGGGTTTGGCACACGCTGTATTTATGTCCGTGAAAGGTATTTATGTGATGAATCCTTCAGGTATTAGCATATGACTCTTGTTAATGTGCTTCTACGTGTTTTCCCCATCGATTAGAGCTGGTTACAAATGCAAAGCCTACTTTGTCCTGCAGATGCTTGCTGTGAGTTACGCTGAGCTTTTTAAAAGCAGGACCGGAGAGGCCCTTGCCGGGCGGCCTCTCTTTGGTTCCCTCAGTCATTGTTCATGCCGTGCCCTTGACAGCACTGTAGGGCATGGGGCCTGTGGCTCATCGTAAGGGGACATGCTCTGTCATAGGTTTTAATAACTGGCCAGGGCTCCCGGGGGGAGGGAGGGCGCTTCTTACAGGTATCTGGTCAGTAATTCCTTCATTAATAGGTAAAGACCAGCTCTGCCCATAACATGTTGGGTAGCATGCTATTTCTGTGACCCCAGGTTCTGTCTACCTGCCCTCCAACCACTACTCATTGGCCTTGGTGTGTATTCTTACCACTGTGGTCCAGACCCGGCTGGCCACCTCTCTGCAGCCTTCCCCACTGCCACAGCCTCCCGGGGCTGACTCTCTTCCCCATCTTCACTCTCATGTGTGTTGCTGTTTTTCTGTACTCGGGGAGAGAGGCCTGCTTTGATGAAGACTAGGTTTGGGGGTTCGTTCTGTCACTGACTCCTGCACAGATTAGTTCTTCGGGTAGTCCTTTTAAAAACATTTTAAGTGTTCCCATGGCCATGCTCCTTCTGTTTGCTGTGGGAAGCAGCACACTTTGGTTTGTGGTTTTTATAGTTTGGGCAAATGTTGCAGTTTGATTTTATCTCTGTTGAAACTAGTGGTGGCTTTAATGAATGAAGAGTAGGGGATTGTGGGCTTTGCGCCTCCCTGGAAAGCATATCACTGCAGCCCTTTAAAGTCTCACCCAGATCATGTGCCAAGAAGGAAGTGGGAAGCCTGGAGGTGGGCAGGGGTCAGAATATGTATGAATAAAGAAATAAAGGGATTGAAGTCAAGCTTCTGGTGCTGGATGTTTTTCCTTCTCAAGCAGGACCATGACCTTGGGCCAAAGCTGGCTGGGGCATGATGTCTGGTTTTGAAGTTGATGGTGTGTTGACCAGTAGACCTCCTGTTAGGGGTCCTGTGGACAGGTGAGAATGACTTAACCTTTACAGCTGTGAGTGATATCATGAGCCCTGATGAACAAGACTGGTGGCAGCTCTTGACTGCCAGACACACTCTCAGTGAGTGTCCTTGTGTCCCGGCTGCTTCTGGATCATCTAAGAAACATCTATCCACTGGAGAAGGGCTAAGAGAACACTTATGATGGGCCAGGTCACCAGATGGGAGTCACAGCCCTGCTGAGCCTCTCTCTGGCTGGCCTCACTGTTCTCCGTACCAGTTATAACTCCAGGCCAGGCTCCCTTTTGAAGCCCAGCCTAGGCAGTGGGCATGACTTTAGTTCTGGGTTGTCAGTGACTTTGTGAGGTGGGCCTCAGATTTATTTTTCCAATGCTATAATACACCAGAAAGGTAAAAAGAAAAAAAAATCCCCCCTCCCTGGAGTCATTGTCAGCTTCTGCAGCCCTTCTGATGATGTAAAGCCTGCAGAGGAGTCCATTAGGTGACTCATGGTGGCTTATCTGTAGCAGGGGCCTTACTGATCATTCATTCCTCTTGCTCCAGATGAACAAAGTTAAGTGGGCAGAGACAAATGTGGTGGTTACCATTGTTTTAGGTGAGGCATCCTGGCAGAGGAGACGCTGGAGGACACAACCGGCTTTGTGACCCTGGGCAAGTCACCCTCGCTGAGCCTCAGTTTCCACATCTGTAAAATTAGGATAATAGCACCTGCTTCATGGTATTATTATGAAGATCCAATGAGATAATGCAGGTGTGAAAAAACTACTCATATAAATATCAGGTATTTGGGCTAATGGACAGCTCAGTGAAGACTTCCCTGTCAGCAGACCAGATGCATTTCTGGTATGAGGATGACTTGTTAATGCCCAAAGCCAGAACTTCTGCCAGAATCTCCTGTGAGAGGTGTAGGGTATGAGGATGAGTGATTTGGTTTTTGCAGTTATGACCAATTAATCCTACTGAACAGACTCCTAGAGTGAAGCCTTTGTCCAATAACAGCAAAGGAAAATCAGTGCCTTGAGTAAAAACATTCCTGAAGTCCCAGGACTTAGCCTGTTAGGTTAGAAGGGAGCAGAAGGGGCAGGCAGGCTGTACGTCGTTATACTCTGCCTTCAGGAGCAGCTCAGTCTCAGTTTGTCTCCCTGTGCAGGAGAGGAGACATCTGTTCTTTGTACTTGGTGTCATTGGTAATAGCCATGCACCAGCTTCTTAGCAAAGAGAGCGTAGCCAGTGAATTTCATGCTGCAGTACAATTTTCATCCTTTATGATAAACAGTGATTTTTACTGGGAACTAAAAAATGTATCTTTGGGGAGCATTGAAGTCTTAATTAGAAAACCTGTGAACCATAAGAGATGTTTCTGTACTTTAATAAAAATTTGATTTTCACTTTTGTGGTATTGTAATAGTATTTTCCTCTTCAAGCTTACTGCTTCCACCAAGTGGAGACACTTGGAAGAACAGAATCATCCAGCCAGTCCCAAACTAAGTCTGTGATACCTTTGTTTGTTGTTTCTTTCACAGGCCTTTCAAACATCTGTGTACTCACCACAACCAAGGTGCTAGAAATCAGGGATTTCTGTCCCTGCCCATAGAGTGATCTATAGCTTCAAGCAAGGAAGTGACTTAGCGACAGAGATGGGACCAAAACATACCTTCTCAGGCTGGGCATCTGTTCTATCAGACTACCTTCCACATACACCTTTCTTTGATCATGCAACTTATAAAAACCTCTTTAAAAGTGGGGGGGGGCAGCTAGGTTGCACAGTGGATAGCGCACCGGCCCTAGTCAGGAGGACCTGAGTTCAAATCCAACCTCAGACCAAACACTTGACACTAACTAGCTGTGTGACCTTGGGCAAGTCACTTAACCCTGATTGCCTCACTTAAAAAAAAAAATGTCTGGTCCATCTCTCTTGGTTACCCACTCCAGTCTAAGATCTAATAATTCACAAGTAGGACTTTGTTTTTAAAACTAATCCTGCAATGTGGGAGCAAATTTAGTTCCCTCCTGTTGGGAGTCAGTCCTCCATATAGTTGCTGAGCTTTCTCCTATTCATAATATAATTATTGATAATTAAGGAATAGCCCCAAGTTTCTTCTGCTACCCACCAGAGGCCCCATTCTCTCTCATTCCCTTTTGGGTTTATTAATGTTCCTTCACCATGGAAGTGGCTGTTACTCAGACCTGCCTTGATATTGGTAAATAGATTAACTTGTTACTGCAAGCCTACCTTTTTCTTCTGCTTGGAGGAAGGATAGCTTTCCAAATAATAGTGATACTGGAGCATGAATTTATAAAGGTAGCTGAAAGTTGGGAAGCTTCACCTGGTGGGAAATCTCTAAGCTAATTTCCATTTCCCTATAGTTAATGGTCTTGGAGAATGAGTTTGCCCTAAGCCTTCAGGCTTCTGTGCTCCAGTCTTTCAGGCAGTTGGCAATACACAAAGTCAGCTGGACCTTTCGAAGCACTGCGTGCCTCCCCAATTCCAGGACTCTCTCCAAGGGTAGCCTGGTTATCAAATCATTGGTCCCAAAAGCCCATTTGTGTTCCACTGCAAGGTAAGTCTAAGGCTCTCTTCTTCAATAAATTGATTCTATGAGTTCCCACAGAGGCTAAAAATAGGCACAGCTCTGCACCATTCACACATTTTGCTAACATGTCCTCAGTTTAGACACTAAGGATTGTGGGTCTATTTCCCACAGTTAGGCTTGAGGGCTACTTTAGACCTGTTTTTCCTGTTCCTGTATCTTTCCTTCCACGTGAGTGAGACCTGGGGGGAGAAAGCAGGGTTATGCCTAGACTACCACCATATTTCCTTAACCACTCGCAAAAAAGGGACAGCCAACATAATAGGGCTTCTAGCTGCTGGGCCTTGACTTGTCTACTAGTTCTTTTGGATTCTGTGCAAAGCTGAAGGGGGTTTGATTCTAAGAGTGACAGTTGGGCAGTGAGGTCATAAGTTTCTAGTGGAAGGGAAGGTTCCGGAACAAGTTCACATCAGTTCCCACTGCTTAGGTTCCCTGTGAAGGCAAGATGTAAGGACACTGACTTATCTGTCAACTCAGCCGGCTCTCCCAGCTGCCTCAGACATCCTCCTTCCCCCCTCCCTTCTTCCCCTCCCCCCCAACTGGTAAACCCCTGAGGGAGGGAGGAAATGGGGTAGTTCTCTTGTTCTAGGCTTCCCCTCCCTCCCTCAAGTCCAGCTGGTTCAGAGCAAAGAGGTGTCCCGAGTGAGGCTAGGGAGCTGCCAGTGTCTCCAAAGGAACCAGGCAGTGTGGATCAGCTTCAAGTGTTCAGAGCCTGAATGAAGAAGATTTGCCAATGAAGTCAGCTTTCTGCTCTTGTCCCGAGCCCCGGGCTCTTTGTTTCTAAGTATATTAGATGGGGTCCATTTCAGGATCTGGGACTTAGTAAGGAGGGCTAAAGATTAGCTTTAATCTAGAGATCCTATGTCTTGAGCTGGGAGGGACCTCAGGAAGGGAGGCTGAGTATCTTGCCTGAAGTCCTATGGGCAATAAATACCAGAGTGAGGATCTTAGCCCAGGTTCTCTGAATCCAGTACCAATTGGGAGTCAGCAGCAGGTACAATCCAACTGTGAGAGGCAATATGGTACTGAGCATTAGTCTCAAGCCCCAGCTCTGCCATTTAACTAGCCTTTGTCATCTGGGACAAGTTAATTCCTAAACCTGTTTCCTCACCTGAAAATAAGGATAATGAACTACTTCACACACTTGTAAGATCAGATAAGGTAATGTAGGCACCAAAAAATACTTGGTAAACCATAAAGGAGCTGTTATTTATTATTATTATTATTTTTTTAGAGTTGGGGGCAATGTTTTGAGGAGACCTCCCTTTCTGAGAGTCTAGTTTTAGCAGTCTAGAGAGCTTCTTTCTTTCCACAGGGGCTAGAAAGTTCAGGATACATCCTGGCTTTTGGGATCTCTCAGCTGATCACAGAATTTCATATTTGGAAGGGACCTTGGGAGCCATGTGGTCCAAATTGTAATCTGAAAAAGAGTCTCACTACAACATACCCAATAAGTGGTCATCCTACCTTTGCTTGAAGACCTCCAATGGGGAGGAAACCCACTAGATCCAAGGTCTTGCAGTGAGTCAGGAAGGCAAGAGAAGACCCTTCTGCAGGGATAAGGTATGCTGACTCATTTGTTGTGCTCCTGAATGCAGGGCCTCGTTTGTATTTCCCTCTTACCATAGGATTGACTGTCAGCACGGAACCAGACCTCAGTCCATGTTGCCACTATGAGCAGCTCAGTCACTCTAGAGGACCTGGGGCTCCTCCTCAAAGATGGTCTGAAGATCCCAGAAACCCTGATTGTAAAGGAGATCTCTGATGGTTCTGAGTACAACCCCCAAGTGTCTTCCAACCTGACCCCGGAGCAAGACACTCTGAAACGCTGGAAGCAGCTAGAACAGTGGTAGGTACCTGAAGTTTGTCTCATCACTTAGGATATGGTTTCTCTTATACCTAGCTCCAGACAGGACACCTTTGTGAAGCCAAAACGTCTTTCCAACTTCCTTGAGGCGTCTCAGCCTGGAATCATTCTTTTTCTTTTGGAGGGGGGATTCTGAGTAGTGGTATACTCGTTAAATCATACCCCCCATACTTCTTCTGGGTGAACGTGGGTGACTGTGGTTTTAAAGCATGTGCTTGTCCTTCTTGGTTAGATCTACCTATGGGTAAATAGACTTATCAGCCTGTCTCCTCCACTTGTTTCCCGGCCTCTGGGTGTGTATCTCCGTGGCATCTCGCAGGGTGGCAGATCTGCAGGCTGAGGTGGTCTGCCTTCGAGGGCACAAGGAGCGTTCAGACCAAGCCGTCCTGAGCTTGTTGAGGGAGCTGCTCCAGAT